GTAAGAACTGCTATAGGAAGTTCTTCAGGCAGCAGGTCCTCACGGCAGCCCTCGGTGGGTGGGTGGGAGTCAGAGCTTGTCTGAGCTGGCGAAGGCAATACTCATTCACGCTGTGCCTGGGCCTCCTGGTGCAGCCTCCCGCCCTGATGTGCTCAGGCACCAGGGAGCTGACGGGTAACACACCTTTTGAGAGATGTAAGGTGCTGGATGGGACTCTGACTTGCAAGGAGTGGGCTGATGTGAACCACATACTCCATTTATACACCTCCTCCCAAAGACTTTGAAAATCAAACACTCCCCCAGCCATGGAAACCCAACCTCTGCTCATTGTTAGGACTTTATTATTACAATCACCCGCCCGATTCCAGCCACCATGGGCTGAACAAGGAGTCAGTAAAGCCCTCTGGAGGTCTTGTCTGCCATCACCCTCTCCCACAGGCAGAGGCCTGGCACTGAGGCCTTGGTGGGCAAGGAGGCGGTGTGGCTGCACACTGTGCCCCACGGGGACTTCCGGGGAGTCTGGGCATCGGTTTCTCACTCATCAAGTGGGAGTCTCCTCCCGTCCCCCCCCCCCCAAAAAAAAAAAAACACACACACCACATTCGTATGTTGCTTTGAACTCACATTCTGTCTCCTATCTCGACCCTGGTAGTTCAGGAGCTAATTGCATCTGCTCTGGGGAAATGGTGGGTATGAAAATTCTTCAAAGATGCTTAAGACCACTAGGTGCCATTAACTGTTCTCACACAACACGCCTGCGTGTCTCTCTAATGGGACTATAAAAAGGGAGTCTGTGGGGTGCCCCATGCTGTGTTCACATACATGTGCCTCGTGCCCAGACCCCTGGGAGCCTTGGCTGGGTCAGTGGTCAGTGGTCAGAGCAGGGAGCTGGGCCCAGCTGGCTCCTGACCCCCAGCTGGTACATAACAAGGTCACATGGTCTCGGTTATGGTTCCACTTCATTCCCAAGCCTTGGGTGTTATTTGATCATCGGTTATAAGCCAAAAAGATCCCGGTTTTATTAGGGGAAAAAAGCTTAATTTCATGGCCAGATCACTGTCCCATGAAACCCTAGAGGCCAGGACCTCGCAGGCTTGAGGTGGGCCTGCCTTGCCCGTCATTTCTGCTGTCGCCACCGGCTTTGAATTTCCTGCCTGGACCAGCCAGGAGCCGAGGGCTCAGCTGTTTCCTGAGCTCACTGGGGCTCATCAGGTTGGATCTCCACCCTGTGGGTGCCCAACTCCCTGTCCTGACCTGTCCTGGTGGGGGTCAGCTCTAAACAGAACAGGCACGTGGGAGGGGGTCTTCTTGCTGCCCACTCAGACAGCCCTGGGAAGGCTGCAGCCCTGGTTTGGGTTTCGGGATTAGGGAAACCCGAGCACCATAGCATGTTGGGGCTGGGATTAGGTGAGCTCAGCTCTAAGATGCTTTGCTGGGCCCCATGGGGCCCACTCAGTGGCCTCTTTGCTGGCCTTGCAGGCACAGGTGCTTGGCCAAGGACCAGCATGTGCAGGGCTCCTGGGGTCCACAGTGGCGGTACAAGAAATCCAAGAGACTACTGGAAGCTGGGGTGGCAGATGGGGGAGGAATGGGCACAGGGCAGAGCAGGCAGCAGGTCAGGCCTGCTCAGAGCAGTTCTGCAGGGGAGTGCCCTGGACTGTCCTCCCACAGACGTTATTTCCAGGTCTGAAGTTGGGCCCTGGCCATCCCGTGATCAAGTGCATGTGGAACAGGAAGCAGCATCTGTAAGATAGGCCCTAACCCCCGTCCACCCTGTCCCCTCCTTGGGGCATCACTCCTAAAGTCACTCAGCCCTGCCTGCCTAGTGGGGACCCCTGGGATGGGAATGGAGGGGAAGTGGCTCCCAGTCGGTTGTGAACAACTTGGGGAGGCAGGAATGACTCCTGGTGGCCACCCCTGAGTGCCCTGGCCTGGACCCTGATGTACTTATAAGAGGCAGACACCAATGTGTGCACTTCCAGTGAGTGATGTGAGTACAGGGCACTGAGGCCATGCAAGGAGCCCCCTCACCGGGGTGGCCCCAGCATCTGGAGCCTGAACAGAGTCCAGAGGGCTCAGTGATGTGGCCTGGAAGCCATGGGTCTCTCAAGACGGCACAGGCCCTGTCTGGCTGACTCAGGGTCCCCTCTTGCAGGGTCCTGGGTCACTCTCACTGCAGCAGCTCTGCACCCAGTGGAGAGTGGTAGGTGAGGGGCTCAGGCCTGCGTCAGGCTGTGGAGGAGGCTGGGGCTCCAAGCTGCTGCCTGGCCAGGTGAAGTGAGGCATGTAGCTGAGATGCTATGGGACAAGCCACCCCAGGGTCCTCGGGGGCTAGCTCGAATCTGAAGCTGCAGGCACAGACATCCTGAACCACAGGCACCGCCTGATGTGGACTGTTTCTCATGGGGCAACTCTGCCTGCAAGGGCCCTTGGCTCAGCAAGGTGGGCACACCCTCAGCCAGGCCTCCCCGCCATGTTAAAGCATGGCTGAAGCACGCATGGGGGCAGGTGTTCCCCGCTACTGCCGAGAAAAGCTGGGGGCCTTGGCCAGGCTGTGAGATGCTCGGAAGACACCAGCAGCCTGTGGTTTGGAGGGGACCGCAGCCAAGCATCGTGGCCACCTCCCCTGAGCTGATGTCCCCTTCTGCACCCCTGCAGTCAGTCCCCTCCTCCGGCAAGGCCCACCCCTCCCTTGCCTTGCCTATTTCAGTTTCCATCCAGCCCTCAAAAACTGCTGGTCACCCTCTCCTGTATATCTACCTCCTGAGGGGCCATGGGACCGTAGGGAACAGCACCTCAGCGGCTAGAAAAGGAAGAGGAGTGGTGGGCCGCTGGAGGTGCCTTACCCAGCTTCCCAGCTAAGGGTGAGGCCAGGAGGGGGTGGCTTGGCCCCTGAGCGCAGCCCCTCTCCCTCCCGTGTGGTTGTGCAATCTGAGCCATAAGCAGAAGTGTGCAGGAATCACCCAGGGTAATTGTAGGTTACACCAAACAATCTGAGGAATTAAAATCATATTTTCATTGCACCATAAAAACATGCAAAGGCGGCGGGAAGGCGGCCCTCAGGCCAGGTGGAGAGCACCTGGCCTGTGGCGCTCTGGCCCCTCCCTCATCCCTAGGAGGAGGGGACAGGGTAGGGGTGGGCCTAGAGAGGGGCCTCAGGCCATGCTGTGAGCCTGGAGCCAAGCGGCTTGTAAGACAGATGACACTGCTCAGTGCTCTTACTGAGACCCACGTGCAGTGAGCCCTGGCTCAGGGAAGCAGCTGTCAGAACACCCTGCCCAGCTGGGACCCCAGAATCTGGTCCCCACGCCCCATAGAGCAGTGTGTACATGTGGGAGTCCAGGTTCCTGGGCACCATGGCAGCAACTGCATACTGACACAGCAAGTGGCTCAAAGGTAGCTCCGGCGATGGCGGTGGCCGAGGCCAGGCCCTTTGTGGCAGGCTTTCAGCTGGGCCAGGCCTCTGCCCACCATTTACCAAAAAGACATGACCCCCATGCAGGGGAGCCAGCGGGCCTACGGAGCTTCAGGGCCACACAGGCAGCACCCCTACGAGCTGTCCCGAGCCCCACAGGACTGGACAGTGAGGCTGGCAGTGCCCAGCACCATGGGTGCATTGCTCAATCCTAGGTCCGTGGTCGGCAAACTGCGGCTCGAGAGCCACATGCAGCTCTTTGGCCTCTTCGGTGTGGCTCTTCCTAAGTCTTAGGAGTACCCTAGTTAATAACAATGTACCTACCTATATAGTTTAAGTTTAAAAAATTTGGCTCTCAAAAGAAATTTCAATCGTTGTACTGTTGATATTTGGCTCTGTTGACTGAGTTTGCCGACCACTCTAGGTGATGGCACAGGCCAGACACAGCACGGAGTGGGCATTACAGACGCGGCAGGTGCACCGGAGCAAGGTTGGTACTGCGGAAAGGGGCGTGCAGAGAAAACACCGGGGGCTGGGCACGTGGGAGCACCCTGGCAGCCAGTGATGGGCAATCCTGACCCTCACCCCAGCGAGATGCCCAGTGTGCACGAGGGCTCCCACTCAGGCAGCATCATTTCCATCATCACAAAAAGCAACAAGGCCATTTCAGGTTCCTCATTTGCCCCGAGGCAGAGACCGATCCGGCTCAAGGAATCTGAAGCCCCTGCCTAGAAGGGCCCCTCCTGCTGCCCTGGCAGCCGTGTTAGCTGACCTCTGCAGACCTCGCCTTTGCCTCCACGACAGGGACACACCTCCTCCTGTGGAGAGGCGGCCCTCGCAGGATCCAGCATGGGGCGCGCCGCCAGCCGTGCGTTAAATGGGACACGGCTGATCTCGCGCTGCACTTGTCGGGAGGGCCGGGCCCAGCCCAGCACTTGGCATCTTAATTGGGCGTCTGAGAGCTCCTGCACACGCTTCACACAGAGCTGAGGCTCCCGTAGGCCCATTAAGGTGCAAAGACATTCCTTTGTTTGCTGACAAGCAGGGTCCCATCCAAGGCTCCCGGGCCGGCAGACTAAGTGATGTTTTCTTAAGAAAGACATGAGATTAACCGCCACTAAAGCCCCAGCACAATGCCAGGCCCTGCCCGGCGCTGTCAGCCTATCTCTCTGTGGTGACTGACAGGCACCATCAAGCCTCAATGTGCAGGATTAGCCGGAGCACAGCACACAAGCTGACTTGGAGGCCACCATGAAAACTAATGAGGTGCCTGACATTCAGGGGACAGAAAGCCTCCAACCCCTGCCCACTCCTGTCGCTGGGTCACACCGCTGGCAGGATGCTCACCTACCGGCAGCTCAGAGTACCTGTGAGCACAGAGGGTCCCGGGAGGGGTTCCCCGAGATCTATGCTGGGAGGAAGGGTCGGGGTCATCCAAGGCACTGATGCTGGGAACGCAGGGATGCTACCCAGCTCCTGTCGCAGAACAATCTGGAAGCAGTTCCCAAATGATGAAGGGAGGTGATGGGGGGAGGGGAGGACAGGCTGGTGGGGGCACATCGGGGGCACCACAGGCAGGGCACACTTCAGGAAAACACCCTCTTTATTTGCACTCCAGAAATACCAGGGGGGCTCAGACGTGGGCAGCCCACGGGGTGGGTTTCTGCGCAGGTCGTCATCATCTGGCATCGGGGGCCTGGCAGGGCCGGCCCGAGCAGGAGGGGCAACAGGGCAGGTGTGGGGGCTGACGTCCCACGGGAGCCATCCCTGCAGGGCACACGGGCAGTCCATCCAGACACGCCGCCCACGCCAGATACCTCCAGGGCTCTCCAGGCTGGGGCTCTCCAGGCAGGGCAGAGGGTCGCCTGGGCTGGGCCTCAGTGTCCTGCCAAAGATGGGGGTTCAGCATGAGATGGCCACACCATCCCCGCACACCCGTGGCCACCACTCTCGTGCCCACACGCAGGGACCCTCTCAGGGCACATCTACCCTGGGATGAGTCACAGGGAGCCCTGTTCTGTGAAAAATACTTTGAGATAAAATTTTTATCATCTTTCAGGTGTGACACCAGGTAAGAGTTTCCTCAGGTTCCCTGTGTTTGTCTGTATCAAGGCAGCCCTGACCGGGGCACCCTGGTGGAGCAGGTGCCCCTGGAGAGGCCCTGAGCCACTGCCCATGGGACCCTCGGCCACTGCACGGCCCCTCAGGCTGAGGCTGGAGGATGTTGGGACTGAGAGATGAAAGGCTCTGACCACAGGCGGCCCTTAGGCAGGGGTCAGGGAGGGTCTCGCTAATGTCTTCCTCCTCAGAAGAGGGTTGGAGGCAGCAACGGCAGCCAGAGGCTTCCGGCCGCTGCCGCCCCGCCTGGCTTTGCGAAGCTCTAGCAGAAGCAGCTGTGCGGCAGCAGCTGTGCGCAAGGCAGCATCTCCACCTTCTGGGCGAGAGAGAAACGAGCAGGACCGGAGAGGGAGGCCCGCTCCTCCCACCCAGCGGCCCACTGAGCTCAGCCTGGGGGCACTTTCCACACCCAGTGTCCCACCTGGCACAGGCCACCTGAGATGGGTGCGAGCCCAGCCTCAAGGCACTTCCTGCCTGAGGGAGCAGCGGTAGCCAGGCCAGGGTCTGGGGCACCCTGGGGAGGGGAGGGCCCTCAGTGGCCTCCTTTCCCACCTTGTTTCCTTGGCTACTATGGCCTGGGCCCAGGGCTCCCCTGTGAGGTGACACAGCAGGTACAGCCTGCCATGCACCCTTCCCCCTTCCGTCACGGCTCTACCCTTACTTGGAGCCCGCCCCACACGTACCTGGATCCAAAGCCCCGAAGGGCCTGGCTGTGGGGGCAGCAGGTGTGCCGTGTGCCCTGGGCTTGGCAGGGATGGCGGCTTAACCTCAGCAGCCAGTCACGGTGGGGTCCAAGCCTGAGCGCTTGGAGATCCGCAGTTTGGTCACCTCCTCGGCACAGGTCGGGTGGATGCCCACTGTCCGCATCACCTGCGCGTAGGAGGCCCCACACCTACACGCAGGGGGAGGGGCAGTGAGGCCGTGCAGGGAGACGTGTTCATGTTACCCTGTCCCCGGGAAGGTGGCACACAGGAGGGCACCTCAGAAGTCTTGGTCTTCTCACCCCCTCCCAACCCTGGCCCCCACCCTGTCCTCCAGCCAGCAGCCAGAAACACCCGCCAACACCTGTTGGACCCATCCCATCTCCCTCCAAGAAAATGCCTGCAGTGGCCAAGCGGGTCCGACTCAAGCCCGCCTCCCACCTGAGCCTCCCTCACTTGCTCCAGCCTGGCCCCCTGCCGCTCCCAGCCCACCAGACACGAATGTACTTTGGCTGTGGCTCCAGCCGGTCCTGCTGTGGGCCCACTTCCTCAGTCTGCCTGAGCCCACTTTTTACTACCGCGGCCTGGACCTGCCAGCTCCCCTCCCAGCTCGCTCTTCTGCTCGGCACCTGGCACTTAACACACAAGTGCCGCCTGCATGCTCCCCACGCACTGTGCACTCTTTGGCACGTTGTGTGTGGGCACCCCCATTGCACAGCTCTTCTTACGTCTGTGCACACGCGTGCTGGAATGGCTATCCGGTGGGAAGAGTCCCGCCACGAATGACCAGTGTGTTCATTTCACATGTGGACAGAGGGCCTTCCTCCCGACTGACAGGAACATCACTCCATCGCTCCACTGACCTGCTCAAAGCTTCAGCGTCTCCGCTGTGCGGACGCTGGAAAAGGATCTGGGGTTTCTTGGTGTTTCAATTACATTTTAAAATCCTGATCGAGACACATCAGCTCTCCACTTATTTTTATGTTCTTTTCCTTTGAGTTGCCTATTCATGTTCTCTGTCTATTGGATTCGTCCTGTAATTACTACTGTTGATTTCTAAGAGTTCTTTGCATAGGAAAGAAATCAGCCCTTTGCAGCTGCAGCATTATTGAAAAGGCTCCCGCATTTTAAAGAGTCTCCAGAAATTGTTCCAGCTGAGTGAGTCCTGGCAAAAGCATCCACATGCCGGAGCACGGAGACGGCTTCGTGGGAGAGCCGTGGCTCTCCGTGTTCCAGCGGCCAGAGATCTGGGCTGGAGCTGTGGAAGCCGGCCTGCCAGCACTCACACAGGTCAGTGGGCTGGGTTCCAGGGGGCACCCTCAGCTGTTCTCCTTGTACCCAGGGTGGACTGCCCTCCCCACAGTGGGCTCTGGCAAGGCTCAGTAGAGCCTTGTACCAGCTCATGGGCCTCCTTCCAAAGGTCACTCTATGTAAGATGAATCCCGTGATTAAGGACCACAGACACATGTTCCAAGGATGTTAGTCCAGTCCTGGACCCAGTCCTGCCCACCCTCCTCTCCTCCAAGGCCCAGCTCCCCTTCCCCTCCAGGGAGAACCTGAACCCACAACCCAGTGATCACCTGGACATGTGTGGGAAGGGCTAGGAGGGCAATGGAGGGCCTGAGGCTCGCTGCCCTGTGACGGGTGCCCCACCTGAGGGCCCAGGGCTGAGGTGTCCCTGGGACGTCTGGACTAGACCCTCGCCTTTGCAGCCCTCCGTCATCAGGTTTTCTGGGCATCGACCCTGCTCCTGGAACCTCCACACACCCCAAGCGTCCATGGGGATCCGGAAGCACGTGTCTTCTTTCTGAGTCAGCCCCTCGCCCCGCTCCTCCCCCACCCCCCCACCTCTGGCAGGCCCAACACCCAGGCTGCCCAACCCTCCTCACTGCCCCTAGGAAAACCCCCTCATAACCAGAACCTCTGTCAGCAAAGGCTCCAAGGCAGGGGCCCCCACAGTGCACAGCCTGTGCCCAAGATCCAGATAATGGCTGGGGCTCCAGCAGACGAGTGCCTGCCCAGGGGGCTGGTGCCCACAGGACACCTGAGGCTGAGACCTTGCTCATGACCACCTGGGTGCATTCTGAGTTAGAGAAGACCCAAAGGGTGACCCCCCCCCCCAGGGCCAGCCAAGGACAGGATGCTCTCCTCTTGCTCCCCACACTGGCCATGCACTCAGTGTGGCCGGCTTCACAGGGTTTGGCTGGAGAAGAAAGCTGCCTCTTGTCTGGCTGAACCTGCCCCATCTGAGCAGACGTTCTGCTGAAAACACAGACAACACTACATAAAAGCGACGTCAACGCAGCGGACGTTCACTGTAGTGCTGCCAACAGTCGGAGGGACACCGTCTGAGCATCGAGTAACAGCCGCATTCTTCCGGACTTACTTGATCCCCAGAGCAAATCCTTGAGTAACTTCACCTGCGTTGGGGCCCAGGAAGTGCAGGCCCAGCACCGGCTTTGGGGGCTTCTGCAGGCACACCATCTGAAAGCCACATTGCCAGCTGCCATCTGCTGGAGGTGGGACCCGGGCTGCATGTGGACCACCCCCCAGTGTATGTGTGGCCTTGGGGGGCTCCCCCACCCCCGGGGCCCACTCTTTCCCTCTCTCTCACCCCCTGGCATGCCCTGACCGGGCCCCCGAGGACACGCACCTTTATGTAACACTGGGACGCGTCCCGTTCAGCCACTGTGAACTCGAGCGGTTTATAGTAGGCGTGATAAACCTGGCGACAAGATACCGATTCCTGGAGTCAGTGGCTGCAGCCAACCAAGCCCCCTGGACATTTCCCAGCTCTGACAGGCTGTGTGAACACAGCAGGGACTCGGGATCGCCCACTTGGTTGTGGTCTGGGGCCAGGACATGGCTGGCTGGCCTTGAAGAGCACCCCTCTCTCCCACGCACAGGCAGTCAATGGCCAGAGCCACCCTGCAGGGCAGGCCTCGCCCATTCAGGCCGAGATCCCCATGAACCACAGCAGCAGAGCAGGCGCCAGGTTAGCGCCACCCGCTGTGACTGGTCACTGAGCCCAAAGCTCAGCACAGGGCATGGGAACCGCCCAGGAGTGCAGTCTGAGCGGACGCTGCAGAGCGACCGGGTGACAGGCAGTGGGAGACAGGAGCGGGTTAGCGGGTGGCCATCTGGCCTCCCTCAGGCACCCTGGGGCTTGGTGGGCCCTCACTGAGCAGGGAGGAGGGGGCAGGCGCAGGGGGCCCCCAGCCCACACCGGAGCTGTCGGACAAAGGCTTTCAGCACCCGAGAAGGGACCGACAGCGCGTTCAGGGCTGCGGCCGAGTAAAAAATGAGCAGGGCCCTCACATGTGTTGCACAGCCATTATTAATTAATGGAGCTTCAGAGAATATTGTTCTAACTAAGACAGAATTGTAAAAAAAACAAACAAAGGGTATTTGGCCATTCAACATTGTGAAACATAAAACAACATTATAAAATGCCATGAACATATGTCCCAGTGTACTTGCGATGAATCAAACAAAAATAGCAAATAAAGTGCTGAGGGGAAGGCCGGCCTGTCAAGCCTGGCCTGTTGATGGAGGGGATTGGGGCACTGGGGCAAGGGGCAGGCCCTGGAGTCCAGTGGCTTATTCCCAGAGGGCACCAAGCCCTGCTGTGGTGACCACATGGGGTCTGGTTTCTAATCGGTCCGCCTGCAGGCTACTGCAGCAAGAGGAAGCCACACTGAAGGCTTCCAGCATCCAAAGTCTCTCCACATCCTGCCAGGCTGCCTGGGCATGCGCTGTGCACCCCCAGGCACAGCTGGCCTGTCGGAGCAGACCCCAGAAGCAGCCTTGTCTGCTGAAAGCCCTGCCTCTGGGATGGAGGCCGAGTCTGGGCTGTCAGGGGCCTGCGGGAACTAGGAGGGTCTTGGAAGAGGAGCAGAGGCAGAAGCTGGCATGGGGCTGGGTGGGGTGAGGGGTCACAGACTGCAGGACCCACAGGGGAGTTGGGGAGTCGCAGGAAGTCGAGGTACCTGGGGGCAGGGCCAGGCTGGGACAGGAGAATAGGGGACGAGGGTTAGAGGTCAGAGTACAAGAGAAGGCTTTCCAGGTCTAGGGAGACATGTGCCCCTGTGAGGTGGCCATACCCCAAAGGCTCCCAAGGCCACCCTCTAACACTCCCATTCACATGTCCCTTCCAGCCACCTCACAGCCTCACAGCCATGGCTCTGGGCCCCATGCCCCGCCCTGCTCCTGCCCTGCAAAGATGCAGTCCTGGGATGCAGGAAAGCCAGCACTCCTGCTCGCCGACTGGGCCTCTCAGGGAGGGGGTGTCAGAGGGCACGAGTGTCACACAGGTGTCACGTTGTGGCAGCCCCTTCTGCTCGGGGCCCTGACTTACCTCCACGTGCTCCTTTCCGTGGCGTGCCACAGCCGCCTCCTCGGACAGCCCCACACAGCCATATTCCAGCGGGGTGAACACTGTGGTGGGGACCTGGAAAGACACACCCTTAGGGACCCAAGATTGAAGATTCTCACCGGGCCAAGTCATCACACATGCTGGCCGGCAGGCCACAAGCAGTGGGAAGACTCACTCACTTATTCCTGGGCCCTACTCACAGAGCTAAACTTCACACATCTATGCACACACACACACACACACACACGCACAGACATGCACCCACCCATTGATGTACACACACACACACACACACATGCACATGCAGATGTGTACATATACACCCATATGCATGCACATATGCACAGACATGCACAAAATGCACAGGCATATATACACATAGACGTGCATGTGCTCACACCACACACCCACATGCACATACACAGACGTGCACATACATGCACCCCACATATAGACATGCACACTCCAGGCTGAAGCTAGCCTGTGAAGAGCAGTGAGCACTCACATTGTCATAGTCCATCAGGTCTGAGGACTGGCCACAGAGCCTCTGGGCCAGGAGCCTCCCTGCCAGGATAGCTGTGGGTGTCAGCTCAGGCCGCCCCTGACGAGGAAGGAGAAGTGTGCAGTTAGTTCTGCACGTCTTGTAAGGGTGTCTGTGCATCGCCCTCCACCTTCCTAGTGAGGTGTCTCCCTTTCAGAAACTCCCAAACGCTGTTTGCTGCTGGGCCTCTGCAGTGGGACAGCAGGCCCTCCGCAGGTCTGTGGTTCTCTCTTCACTCCCTGTGTGCTGCTCTGGGTGGTCACACCTTCCCCGGCAGAGCGGTGAGCTGCTAATGAGCCTGCCAGGCTCCCTTGTGGCTTCTACCTGCACCCCTTCTTCATGTCAGTGACCTTGCAGAGCTGAGCCCACAACAAAGCTCAAAAGAGATCCTGCTGCCACTCATTCAGTGAACTGGGATTCTGGCTAAACGGGGCCCTGGAAGCATTCTGTGTGCTCCTGACACAGCTCATCACAGCCCATTACAAACCCAAAATGAAAACACCGCTCTACTGGGGACCCCTCTGTCCTAGTGTGTGTCCTGCGGGGGTGGGGGGCGGGGGGACACAGCCCCCAGCGTTCCTGCACGGGTAGGCCTGGGACAGGCTGCCAATCACCTCTGCAGCAGCAGGAAATGCAGATGTTGTTTGACATTCCAGAAATGAATGGAGATCCACAGAGATAACTCGGGAGAGCGGGCTATGCATTCCACCGAGCCTGGCTAGTTGCGGAAACCTCCAGGCGCAAGTGCACAATATCGCACTAAACAATGGCTCCCCCCCAACCCGGACCATTGCGGTGTTAACCCTTGTGCCTGCTCAGAATGACCTTTCCAAGTAAGCGAATTTAATATCTGAATAAATAATGCCTTGTGTGTGCCGCATGTTCCTGGCCACATGGTCTAAAACAGCGGTCGCTAATCGGTGGTCTGCGGACCACTGGTGGTCCACGAGGTCCGAAAGGTTGGCGACCGCTGGTCTAAAATATTAGTTTCTGCTGTGTTAGCACAAGCCCTGCAGCGGATGGAACGCCAACTCACTCAGCTCCCGGGGTGCGTAGAGAGCGCGTCCTATTCGAACTGGGCTCTCTCCCAAGACCATGATGCTAGTTCAGGGCACAGCTCACAGGATGGACACCAGCAGCAAATGCCACTTCCAGGCCTCAGAGATCACACTGAGCAATGGCTGCTGGCTATGCCGGCTGGGTCCACGGGACACTTGAGGACATGTACAGCCACTCACTTCCGTTCACACAACAGGACGATTAGATGGTCAAAGGTGACCTGGAGGGGAACTGACCAGAGCTCTGGCCACACGCCCCAGCTGAGCTGTCCCCGAAGACCCATGCCAGATGGGAAAACTGGCCCTTCGGGAACCACGGGAAGGCTTGGCCTTGCACGTACCTGCCCTGGCCTGTCTCCATGTGTCCAAGCTTTCCCGAAGGCCCCCAAATATGACCACACCAGAGGCTGGCAGGTGACGCTGAGGGAAGGATGGTCCCATAGCATCAGTGACAACTGCCACCTGTGTCCTCTCAGCTCCAGGATGCCCCACCTAGCGATCCACTCACCTTAAATACTGGCTCCCCTACCCCTAGGCATTTCCCAAAGTGGGTTCCCTGGTGTACCTGGGCACAAGCATCCTCATTCGGATCCCCTGTACCTTTTCTAGCTCTTCTCCAGCCCAGGGTTCCCCCCACCCCCCTTAAGTCTCTCCTGACCCCCAGTAACTAAGCATCTTCTAAATCCGAAATAGTTTACTCAATTATTTGTCACCTGTGACCACTACCAGAATGTTGCCTCTTTGAGGCCTGGGATTTTATCTGTTCCTGCAGTGGCCCCAGAACCCAGAAAAGTGCTTGGTACCAGAACAGTGGGCACTCAGTCAGTACATGATGAATGAATGTAAATTAGCATATCATTGTGGGTTTAATAGCCACCCCCCCCCCCCAATTCACCTCTGCTTGGAACCTCAGAATGTGGCCTTACTGGGAAATAAAGGTCTTTGCAGATATGATTAAGGTAAGGATGGAGATGAGGTCACACTGGATTAGGGTGGGCCCTAAATCCAATGAGAGGGTCCCGCCAAGAGACGAACAAGAGCACAGCCGCCTGGAGGAGACGGTCACGTGAGACAGAGATTGCAGAGCTGCAGCTCCGAGCCTGGGCCGTCTGGGCCATCAGATGTTAGAAAGGTCCTCCCCCCAGAGGCTTCGGAGCGGGGACTTCAGACCTCCAGCCTCCAGAATTAGAGAAAGTCAGCTTCTATCGTTCTAAGCCACCCAGTTTGTGGTGATTTGTGATGGCAGCCCTGGGAAACTGACATACATGTCAATGATGCCAGCAGGTCTCAAGGCCAGGAGGCTGCTGGGGTCCGGGCGCCTGGTGCCCCTCTCAGTCCCCTTTGACCAGGGACTCTCCTGAGCCACTTCCTCAATATGTGCTTCACACGTGTCGGGCAGGCCGACTGCAACTGAGGCTTTTGGGGGAACAGGGGCCCCACAACTGACCAGCTGTAGGTCTTGCTAGGAGCCTGTGAGGGGACAGGGCTTCCACCAGGGACTCACAGGTGGTGTGCACCCTCCTTTCCAGGGGAGGGAACAGGCAGGCCTGAGAGGGGCTGGGTCCACACCCTGTCAGGCTCCAGCGCCCTCAGGCCCTGCCCATCTACCAGCTTAGAAAGAGTACTGACCCGCCCAGAGATCAGAGCGTAAACTGAGGCAAGGAGGTCAGACCCAGTGCTCTGGGGCCAACATGGCAGCATTTCCAGCGCCTGCACCTCTGCCCACCTGCGGGGAGGTTGAGGCGGCCACTGCAGTGAACAGGTGCCGTTGCCTCAGAGCTGACGCAGCGGTTGCAATAGGAATCTGCTAATGGTGCTCTAAGCCATTTGTAAGCCGTCCCCACCTGCCCTCCACGGCAAGGAAGAGCATTCGAGAGAGCAGAGGCTGATGCCCAATTCCTCCCAGAACTCAAGTCTAATGGCACCTGGGACTTGGCCCAGAGCCTCTGTCAGCCATGTGTTTCCCCAAGGCCTGGCCAGGGTAGGTGGCCAGGGTGGGGGGCGGGGGGGGGGGGGTCAGGCATCGGGCACTAGCCATACCTCCGCTGTGTCTCCAATGGCATAGATATGGGGGACGGAGGTGGCTTCCTGGGCATCAACCAGGATCTTCTGACTCTCAGGGTTGGTGTTCACTCCAGCCTTCTCCAAATTCAGATTTCTGGTTTCTGGAACTCGTCCTGAAGGAAAGAAAGAGCAGTTTATTTACCACAGTTTTCTTTAGCAGTTCTGACCAAGATCCCTTGGTTTATTTGAAACACTTTACCTACTTTAGAATTGGTAAAACATCAAACACAAACATTGTCAGGGGACTCCTGGCCCCACAGGCCACACACACATACACACACACACACCCCTTCCATTTGCACAAAGAATCAATGGAAGGATGAGGCAGGACCAGCAGAAACAGTGGGCCTCAGAAAGGGAGGAAGCAGGGGGAAGGGACAGAGACAGGAATAGGATTTCTCTAAACACATCCTGTGATACAATTTTGTTTTCTTAATTGTATATATGATTACATATTAAAAAATAAATTTAAATTTAAAATGGGAAAAAAATCCCTATGACTTATAAATAACCTGAAACCAAGGGGCCTGAGTGTGTATGAAGCTGGTAACAGCAATAGAAAGATGCTTTGATCAAGAACTGAAGGAACCAACATTATAACTGAATATCCTCAGAGGGTTATGTCCTAACAATAAGTAAATCTGCAAACGGATCTGGGGTGTTGCAGAGAACAGTTAAAACCTCGTAATGTTAAATTTGAAATTCATCATTTTTTTTTAAATATAAAGTTCCTGGTTCTTACCACAGAAAGATCTAGAAGCAGTGATAACCCAAGGGCGATGTGCATCGAGACTGATCACTAAACCCTCCGCCATGAAGGGGCCGGGATCCTGGCGTGGCCCACTCCAGGCCTGGGTGCCCTGGACATGGCAGAGCAGCCAGACATGATGTGACAGGGCCATGCAGCCCGGGAAGACACGGACTCTATACACCCAGGCCCCTCACAGAAGCTGGGGCTCCTGTCCTGCACGTGCATTTTCCACTCAGGTCTCTATGGAGCCCATCTGTGGGCCTCAGGTGAGCCGACGGCCTCGTGAGTCCCCATATGGCTCTTCTCGGGGTGGAGTGACCCCCTTCCACCCTCTGTGACCCCAGGGCTCCCCATGCTCCTCCTGACGGGTCGTACTGGGGCAAGGACAGCACTTCATGGGGATTTTATGCTCCTATCTTGCCATCAGACTGTTTGAGTGGATAAGCTGTGGCCTTGTGTCCCAGGTGCCACAGGAAGGGGAGCCAACCCTGAGCAAGCGGCGAGAACGCACAAACTCACACACTGCTCGGGGTCTCAGGACAGGCCCCCCGGCCCCTCTAGGGGGCTAGAAGGCGGTTCTTGCAGCGGCTCCATGCTGCAGACCTCAGCTCCCCCACTTCTGTGTGTCATGACCTGCCCAGCAGACAGCCCCAGCTTTGAGAGAAGACCTGGGCCACGGGGCAGAGCACACCACACCCACCCCTGGTGCAGTCAGCTTGGTTAATCCTGCTCTTGGGTGCAGAGGCCAGGAGGGGCAGGGGACAGTGGTCCCGGGCTGCTGGCGCAGCTGCCTCCCTGCCAGGCTCCACATGCTACAACCTGGGCGGCATCACAGCAGAGCTGTCAGCACGGGTCCCTTTTTCCCTCATCTAGTTGATGTGGCCTCACTGAGCAGGAAGTGGCAAAGGCAGCTCTTCTTGCCTGACCCTAGAAGGGTAGTGGGCAGCTCATGGCCCCCAGAGGCTCAGGGTGATCCCCTAATGACAAAAATTAATGATTTCTAAGGCATAGTTCCCACAACTTGCAGTGGCTCAGACACACAAGAGGTCGGGTAGGGGGTGGTGCCAATCTGAACATCTGGAGGACCAAGCCGTGTGAAAGGGAAACCTCGTCTCCAGCTGCTCTCTTGAAGCGGGAAGTCAAAACAGAGACTTGGCTAAGCCGCGCTTCTCAAGTTCATGGGGAGCCGGCTCCAGCCTCTTCACTCCGCTTGGCCACAGGAATCGGGTGCCAGGCAGGCTGGCACCCATCACCAATCAGGCCAGACATAGGCAACAAGAGGCTCTGAGGTCCCTGCCTTCTGACGGCACTAGAGTGGTATGAATGGAGACCCGTGAGAATGCAGAGTGGGACATGCCACCACAGCCAGTGTCCTGCCCTGGACAAGATGGCCTGGGGGGGCCAGGCCTGACTCCCGAGTAAGGGGGATTGGTCTTTTGGAACCAGCGGGCACCCAGGAGCCCTCGTGCATTTGGGAAGGGACTGGAACATGCTGTGCCTCAGTGAGGAAGGAGCTGGGCCCCATGGGCAGAACTGGAGGGGGTTGGCTGGGTGGGCCGAGGGTCCCTGCAGGCAGAGGGCTCCTAGCTCAGCCCGCTGGGTCTTCCCCAGGCCCCCAGTTCTGCGGAACACAGCATTCAGCAGCTCACCATGCCCACCGCTTCCTGCGGATTGCTGGGGGCTGGGGCAAGCTGGCGCCCCAGACCCACTTGCTCTGATGCTGACCACGCTGTACCCGAACTCTCTCCTGCACTGTTGCCTGGCCAGTCACAGGAGGCCAAGAGCATTTCCTCACATACCTCGTGGTAACCATGGTAACTACACACCTTGCAGATGCCAGCAAACCACATCTGAGGTCCTGAAGAAAATACAATATCCCCCCTATTCACGGACGTGATACATTCCAACACCCCCACTGGATGCTTGAAACCGTGGATTGTACTGAAACTTATACTTTTTCTTCTTATACATCAGCACTTTTCAACCTTTTTCATCTCATGGCGCACATAAACTAATGACTAAAATTCTGTGGCACACCAAAAAATATCTTTTTTGCCAATCTAACCAAAAAAATAGGTATAATTTTGATTCACTCACACTGGACGGCTATTGTTATATTGACTGTTGTCATTTTTTCGTTTGACAATCTACGGGAAAAGACGTCAGAGCCCCTGGCTAGTCAGGTTTGCACAAATAGAAATTCTTACGGCACACCAGTTGAAAGTCGCTGTTATACATGCATGCCTTTTCACTTAAAGGAAGCACTTCATGGCTTCTCGTTGGCATATTCTAACTGTCGGCGTTACTACTCTTCTGCTTTGGGGCCGTTACTAAGTGAAATAAGGGTTATTTGAACGCAAGCACTGTAATACCTCGGCAGTTGATCTGATAACAGAGATGGCTACTAAGTGACTAATGGGTGGGAGGCAGACACAGCGTGGAGACCCTGGACAAAGGGATGATTCACGTCCCAGGATGGAGTGGAGTCATGCAAGATTTCATCCCTCTACTCAGAACAGCATGCAATTTAAAACGTATGCACTGTCTATTTCTGGAATCTTCACTTAATATTTTTGGACTTCAGTTGACTGTGGGTAACTGAAATAGCAGAAGGTAAAACCATGCCTAACAGGGGACTACTATATAGATAAGTTTAAAAGTAGTAAATTTGTTACTAAGTAACAAATTTATGAATAACAAATGCATGAATCAGGTTGCCTCTATAGTCCATTTTGAAGCCAGAGTTTTTAGGACCCCTGGAGGCCCAGAGGGGGGAGAATGGGTGGCATGGTGGAACCCAGTGGCTGGCCACACAAGCAGGGTAGCGCTACCACACGGACAATGCCCAGCCTAGGCCCAGGCTGTACATAAATGGCACAAAGCAAGAAGCAGGCAAGTCATCTCCTTGACCATTTTCCTTTTATCTTATGCAAAAATAAAGGTACTACTCTGGCCGGTATGGCTGTTAGTTGGTTGGAGCATCGTCCCGTAAACCAAAAAGTTGCAAGTTTGATCCCTGGTTCGGCTGTGTATGGGAAGGCAATTGATTGATGTTTCTTTCTCACATCAGTGTTTCTCTCCCTTCCCCTCTCTTTAAAATCAATAAGCATGTCCTCTGGTGAAGATTAAAAAAATAAATAAAGATACTACTCTTCGAAGGATGTGGGGGAAGAGGGGCGCCTCCACCGTGCCCCAGGCTGCATCACCCTGCATGTCACACACAATACTCCCCCCCAATACCCTCGCTCTGCCCCGTACAGAATCTCTCCCCCTTCAGCCTGGGCTCTTGGCACCAGCTTGGGTCCAAGCATCGCTGAATGGCTCCGCTGGTGGGACTCCTGGAGGCTCCCAAGTCTCTGCTCCCTGGACACCACGGGGCTGGAGACGGCAATCTGTCCACATGTCAGTTTAGATCCTTGGGGCAGGTCCTCAGAAGAGGGCCACGGGCCAGGTGGGGCCAGGCAGGAGGCCGCACCCCCCTGGCTCCTTCTTGGGCTCTGCTCCTTCCCAAAGGGGGCGTTGAGGGCTCGGCGCTCTCAGTGATGATCGTTCCTAGCAAACTTATTTTTTGGCCACGCATTAACTCTATTTCCTCTTGCGAATTGTCAGTTCCTGCCTTTTCTCATTCACTTACAGACATTTTCATGACTTTCTTGCCTTGTAAGAGCTTCTTAGGGAATACACGTATGATACTCTGCCGTGTTACAGCAAACAATGAGAACATTAAAATTCCAGGTACAAACAGATGTTCTCTCTTCCTCCTCAGAGGCCACAACCATCTGCATAAATATCTGAATGGGCCCCACACTGCTCTGCCCTCACCAGGCCCAGCCTTGTCCATTGGCTAGTCCCTCTGGAGGACCATGTGACCCCTGTGTCTCTGAGGTGAAACAGTCCCTCCTTCCCAGCACCCACCACCCAGGGCCCCAAAGTGGTGGCAGAATCAGCATTCAGCCCAGATGTTCTTGGTACAACCGGACTGGGCCAGCCCTCCTCTGATGCCACAGCTGCTGCTGCTCACTGGCCACCACACCACACAGCCACTGGAGAAGCCAAGTCTGAGAACCCCAAGAACCGCTGGTCAATTACTACTCGCTCTGCCGGGCACTGGGGCGCAGATAACCGGGCACAGGCAGCTTCACGTGCCTCTTCCATCCATTACGGGAAGACGGGCATTCCCCCCGATTTCACGCCTGCCTGGAGCACATGTTCTGACGAGTGAAGGGCAATCCGTGTAACGAGGTAAGATTTAAGTGCCAGCAGGGGTATGACAGGGCGAGTGAGGGCTGTGATCAGAGAGATGCAGCAAGGATTTGCAGGAAGCAGCTGGAGGCTCAGTGCCGGGAGCTCGGGAGTCTAGGC